GCAAGGCTCTCGTGTGGAACTGAGGCCAGCCGGAGGGCATGGCCAGGCATGCGCACCAGCTCCTCCTTGGCCCCTCCCACAGCATGGCTTGCCCTCCCAAACACAGCAGCTCATGGCAGCACGACAGTAATCACGGAGGCTAGCGTGAGGGCAAGCCCCGTGGGCGGACCCTGCACCACTCTGAGACTCGCATGGGTTAGCACTTGGGTAGCTCCTGCCAGCACCCCCACAGGTTTCTCAGGGCAAGGGATGGGCCTGTGTGGGTTTGGGAAGGGCAGTGTGCAAGGAGCTGAGACAGGTGCATTCAAGTCCTGCTCCCGCATGGGTGAGGGTGGTGTCTGGAGGTGGGGGCCAGGGCCTGGGGGCCTGTGCTCCTCGCCATCCCCCAGCAGGGTGGATGTAATGTCCTGGCCTGCAGTTCTGCTCCCACTGCCTGGGTCCTCAGGTGCGCACGGAATCCTGAACTTTCACTCCCCTGGGCGGTGCATGGCTAGAGAGGCCCAGGGTCTGCGCTCACTGTGCCCTGAGGTCCCTGCCAAGGCATCATCTTGTCACGCACTCTCCCTTCGGAGTTCAGGAAGCTGAGGCAGGGGAGGCTGATGTTGCTGGAGGTCGCACACTTTGGAGTGGCAGAGCCGTGCAGGTTCCATCTGCCCACAGAGCTACCTTCACCTCCCTCCCCTGTGGGGCCCCAGAAAGGCTGCAAGGCCGGGGAACCCATCACGGGGGTGGGAGTTCCAGGATCTTGATGCCAGGACCCAGGGAGGAAGAGGGGACCCACAGACTGCTCCAGGCTCCACCACTCCCTGGGAAGTGCAGGGAAGCCGAAGCGCAGTTCACAGAGGGTCTCGGGCGTGATGGAGAGCGAGACATGGCAGCGGGGACGGGGCGGCCAGCACGGCCTCCCCTCTGCCCTGGGACCAGCTGTCTGCCTGCGGCTTTTACAAGGAGACGCAAAGCAGGAAGTAAGTGCAAAGCAATTGCTGTCCTAGGGCGGCCCCCGCCAGCACCCTGAACTCCGCCAAGCGGTAAACTTTAATAGTCCTGTTTTCCTCACTTTCCTGAGTGTCTGTCAATAGATTTTTCAGGGTCGTGGCAGTCCAGGTCCTTGGCGAGGGAGGGCTGAAGCGGGATGGAGGGCAGGACATTTATCTTGGGACCATGTGGGGCAGACAGCTGGGGATCAGAGTGAAGGTGCCAGGCTGCAGGGAGCTGAGGGGGCAAGGATCTGCCAAGGCTGCTCTGTGTGGACCTGAGAGCCCACATGGTCTGCAGCCAGTGACCTCCCCACTGTCAGAGCCAAGTAGAGCACTCTCGGAGTGACCATGAGGGATCTATTTGTACCCACCGTTCCAAACAGGATTAAAGTGGTTCTGAAAATGCAGGCCCAACTTTTCATCCTGATGTGTCCTGAGCCCGCCTCTCCCAGCTCCTCCCCAAAAATCCTGAAGGAAGGGGCAGACGATGAAGAGCTTGGAAAGGCGGCAGGAGGGGGGCAGACATGTCAAAATCCCAGGCCTGGGGCAACAAGCAGCTCAGAAACAGCACTGAGCTGGGGCTCCAGAGGAGGGAGACCAAGGCCGGCCTGTCCGAGTTGGGACTGGCAACAGAGGCGGGCGACCCATGGCATCGTCCTCTGATGGAACCCAAGCCTCTCCTGCAGCACCGGGCTGGCCAGGAGCTCCTCCAGCACTAAGTGGACAGGAAAGCCCGTTCCGTGTGCTGATCCCGTGTTCTCAGGGGAGCCCATTCCGTGCGCTGATCCCGTGTTCTCCGGGGAGCCTGTTCCATGCACTGATCCCGTGTTCTCAGGGGAGCCTGTTCTGTGCACTGATCCCGTGTTCTCAGGGGAGCCTGTTCCGTGAGCTGATTCCATGTTCAGAGGATCCCATTCCGTGAGCTGATTCCATGTTCAGAGGATCCCATTCCGTGAGCTGATTCCATGTTCAGAGGATCCCATTCTGTGTGCTGATTCTGTGTTCAGAAGATTCCGTTCCCTGTGCTGATCTTGTGTTCTCAGGGGAGCCCGTTCCATGCACTGATCCTGTGTTCTCAGGAGAGCCCATTCCGTGCACGGATCCTGTTCCATGTGCTGATCCTGTGTTCTCAGAGGAGCCTGTTCCATGCGCTGATTCCATGTTCAGAGGATTCCATTCCGTGCACTGATCCCGTGTTCTCAACAGAGCCTGTTCTGTGCGCTGATCCTATGTTCAGAGGATCTCGTGCCGTGTGCTGATCTTGTGTTCTCAGGGGATCCCGTTCCGTGCACTGATTCTGTGTTCTCAGAAGTGGCCATATCTTTCCTCAATTCTGCTCGCTAATTTTTCTATTTCCTTTGACACCTCACTGGGTCTTCCCTGAGCTCTTGTTTAAGAGAGATGACGGGATGGCCGTCTCTGTCCTGTGCTCGCACGGCCCCCATTTCCGTTTTCTTCTATTCTGGGGTAATTTTCTGATGGTGTGAGCTGTTTGCCATTTGTTTTTCCTTGTTTTTGGTGGTAACTGTGTATAGATCATTTTTGTTATCTTTGAATATGGTACATTTGCTACAGACTTTCCCTTTGCAAAAGGCCCATGTGGGAGACAGGTCAAAGCCATTCTGGAATTGCAGGATCACCCGTGGTTCTCAGCAACAGCCTCATACACACATCTGTGCACAGGATGGGCCTGCTCGTGGGCGTGTCCTGGAAGTTTCCTGGGCAGGCCTCATGTCTTTGTCACTCTGTGGTGTGAAATGGGGTCCCAAGATGGCCAGGTTGCCAGTCCATGCCCCTGATCCCACCTCTCCATGCCAGGGGCGGTGGGCTCTGAGGCCAGGGAGGTTCAATGTCCAGTGTCCGCTCTGAGAGCTCCTGGGGCAGGGTCCTCCTCAGCCATCCCCATGTCTCAGTGGAGTCTTTCTGCTGCTGTGGGCCCTCCTCTGTGCTGAGTGCTCCCAGCCTTTCTTAGCTTGCTCAAAAATGATGTCAGCATGTCCCTTCGCTACATCGATCAAATATATCAATTCACTCTAAATATGGCTCCGTGATTCTCAGCAAGACATGCGTGGCCTTTACAAAATGCTGGGGTGGAGAAGCCGGGGTGGGCTCACCAACCCCTGCCCTGAGCCTCCCGGGTCCAGGACCCCGGCCGGAGTCCAACTGCTGGGTCTGGCCACAGCGGCCGCTCTTCCCACACGCAGGCTGGGCATACAGGAGCCCCGCCCACTGCAGCAGGCCTCTGCTTGGTATGGGCAGTGGCACCTTCAGCCTTCCCGGGGCTGACAGCAGCAGGGCAGCCTTCCTCCTCTCTGGCTGCAGCCCTGCCAACTTTCACTTTGTCTCACCTCCACAGTCTGTTGTTTACGGGATCAGTTCCCACAGAAGCTGCCTGTACTTGGAGCCTGGCCCCAGGTTGCTTCTGTGGAGCTCCCGAGATGCGTGGGGCTGGGCATCAGAGAGAACTGCCAGGGCAAAGTCCCACCTGCCAAAGGGTGCCGGGCCTGTTCAGGACCTTGGGTGGGCCTTGAGCAGTGTGTGCCCTGCTTACCTCATTCAGAAACGACTGAAGAGAATCACCCAAAATCCCACAGCCTGAGAACCCAGGCTTGTGGGGTCAAAAGGTTCCAGGAAGCTGCGGCAGGCCTGTCCTCCTGGGCCACAATGTGTGCTTGTGCCCAGGTCGGTGGTGAGGCCGCAGTGGCCCGAGGCTGCCTTTGCAAAGTAATATGGACCTTCATTTTCTCATGGCTATGGCCCAGAGGGGTCTGCAGCAGTCTGCGAGGGGAAAGAGCGCAGCTCTGCCCTTTGTGGAGATGGTGGCAGCTCCCTGAGAAAAGATGCGTCTGTTGGCTGCATCCAGATCTGGCCAGGGCCCCGAGGAAGGACAGTGACGGAAACTGCTGGAGGAGTGTGGGAATGGAAACATTCAGGCCTCCACCCTCCTGTGTGGCAGACGCCCCCATACCCCCTGTTCAGCCTCCACCCCCCTGCGTGGCGGACACCCCCCCACCCCGTGTTCAGCCTCCACCCTCCTGCGTGGCGGACACCCCACATATGCACTGGTTCTAACGCCACTCTGTGCACGTGAACAGAGTGTGGTGTGGGTGTTGGCTATGCGTGGCATGGCCACACACCCCTGCCAGGTGTTTGCATGGCATGGCAGGCCCAGCAGATCTGCGAGATCTGCTCACTCCCAAGCAGGGACCCCAAGGCTCCAGTGGCACCACGCAGAGGTCCAGGGCAGCCCAATTCCGGGGATGTCCCGGTGGAAGAGGCGAGCAGGGGCCACTGGCAGCCATTACAACAGTGATTCGAAAATGCACAGGGCCAGGCCCGCCCTCAGGGCCTCTTGCTTGGCCAATGACTTTCCTCCCTCATGGCAGGGGTTTATTCTCTGGAACGGGTGTTGTTGCCCGCAGCACCGTGCACATTTTGGAAGAGATGCATCTGAGGTGGGGCTGCCCTGGGAACTGCTAGGTGCTGAGCGACATCCCCACGCCCCACCCCTTGACGCCAGGGGCACCCGCCTTGTGACTGTGCCAGCCATAGAGGCCTTCAGACACGGCCACGTGTTCCCTGGGACAGACCCACCGTCCTGGGCATGCCAGGCATCCCCTACGAGGCGGCCACCTCCTCCCACATCTCCCCACTCTTCCCCATCTCCCCCAGTGCCTGTGGGATTGAGGGCCCATGTGAGACTTTTGTGTTCTCCTCCCTAACTCAGAAAGGTCTGCTTCAAACCTGAGAAATGACTGCAGAGCGGCTGTAAAATCCAAACCCTCCCCTCAGGCCTGGAGGAAAAATGAGCCACTTCCATTTCTTGGCGCATTTGCTGTGAGCCTTGGACAAGCTCCCAGGGTCTGGCCTCCGCCCAGGCAGCCGGCCGGTCCCTCCCAGGGGCCTCCCCGTCGGGCTTCCTTGTTCTAAATGGAGGTGGAGACGCCACGGCAAACACAGCGATGGGGTGCGAGGGTTTTCAGAGTGGGCCCCACCTGACGCTGGGAGAGACGGGGGTTTCTCGATATTGCCGGAAAAGCCGTGTTGTAAAGGCTGCGTCTGTTGTGCTGCGTCTGGAGGGGCAGCTTTGCGGCTTAGCATGTCGGTTTTCTACAAATACCATTTCTACTGCAGAAATGCCTCGGGTGCGTGTGGAGTCCAAAATAGAACGTCTAGACAAACTCCTACTGTCTGACCTTTGATGTGCTTCCTCATCCACCCGGCCGTGCCAAGCAGATCGGTGAGTAAGAGCAACTCCCTTCACACTCTGTCATAAAGGCCTGACGAGGCCCAGGCTGCGGTGATGAATTTCAGTCTGGCTGCACCCCCACCTGCAGGGCTCCCACGTGGCTTCCCGGTGCGCTGTGTGCCTGGGTCGCCTTGAACTAATTTCAAGTCGGAGTCCAAAAGCCAAGGACTGCCAGAAAACAGAACTCGCTTTCAGCTGGCAGGGCCAGAGTTTACACAAAACGTGAAGAGGGAGGCTGCAGGCAGCTCTGGAGATGACAGCATAGAAGTCGGGACGGGGTGGCCGAGGGGCCTCCCCCTGCGCAGGCCTGGGGGCGGCTGTTCTGTGAGGAGTAGAGCCTGCGGCGTGGTGAGGCCGGGCCCCTCATCCCGGCCCCAGTCCTCCTCTCACCTCCCCGCCACACACTGTCCTGAGCCTCTCAAAGCCGCCTGTGTGGAAGATTGGATGCAGGAGAGACGCGCTCTGCTCTGAATTAGCGCAGAGGCGGCCCTGGGTTTCGGGCATGCTGCGGGGTGGGCACTTTGCTCTGAGGGACTGAGCGTGGTGGTGAGGGAGGTGCGGGCCAGGCAGAGTGGGACACGGGCGGTCACCGAGATTCATAGCGGGGCGGGGCCTGTGCCAGGGGGTGCTGCCCGCATGGCCCATGTGTCTGGCTTCTGTGTCTCTAGCGGCAAGGCCGTTTCCCCAGATGGCAGAGCTCGTGGTAAGTGGGGTTGCTTCCCTGGGGACAAACCTCTGGTCCTAAAATGGAAGGCCGTGGTGAAAGACTACCCGTTTTACTGGAAAAGAGGTGACTTTGCCAGAACCACATTGGTGCCACAAAGTGAGGAATACCTGTCTTTCCACCTTGGTGCCAACTGGCCCATCACTGCAGCTTCACTGTCCAAAAAAGGAGAAAGAAAAACTTTCACCAGAGAGTATAACCCTTGGACCAGAAAGCAAAATGCAAGCCTCGGTCTAGCTCTTTCTGCAGCCACGCTTGGCCTGGCCGGCAGACCCGCCAGGCGGAGCGGATGGAAAGTGGGCTGGTACCGGGGCCTGCCGCACGGCGAGCCCTGGGGTGCCACGTCTGGAGGGGGCAGCTTTGCAGCTTAGCATGTCGGTTTTCTACAAATACCAGAAACGCAGGGTTTCCAGAGTCCGCTGACCAGAGGTGGGTGAGACATTGGCAATTCAGAAGATACTGCACCACTGAGTCACAGAAAAGTCTACACATTTCCCTGAGTTTCTCACAATCTGCCCATGGCTGGCGCTGAAGCTCCTTTGGGGCAATGTCGGCCTGTGGGCCCCTGGCAGAGCTGCCATGTTCCAGGCTGAGAGCAGTGAGGCCCAGGTCCAGCTCTGAAGCCCGCACAGGCCTCTGTAGCCCCTGACTCAGCTGCCACTTTGCCCCGCGGGCCCACAGCACAGTCTGGAAACACAGAGGCTGTCCCTGTGGTGGCACCAGGGGATGCCACTGAGCCTTGGGCAGCAGCCACAACAGAGCCAAGCAGGACTGCACCACAGTGAAGAAAATCTGCCACCACCAGGGCCAGACCCACGCTTGGTGCTGAGTCGGCCTCACTTGGTTTCCCCGTTGGAAGGTGAGGAGAATGAGAGCCTCTCCCATGGGCATTTGTTCACACTGATGGGCAGTGCTGGCTGGTACAGGCCTGGCCGGGCCCCTGACCCACACGGCACAGCCTCTGCAGGGGGCCACTGACCAACCCTAGGTCTCTACTGCCACAGCCTGGCATTAGGCACTGGTCACAGCCTACAGGTTCCGGGGCGGCAGGGAGCCCCCGTCCCAGCAGTGAAGGATGCCAAGGGCCCTGCAGCCCCGTCCCGGGACCCTGAGTGCGGCTCTTGCCGCCCACCCCACCAGCACTTCCCAGGGGCACTGCAAGGTCCCCCCCTCAGCATCCTGGGAGGGATGGCATGTCCCCTGCACTGTCTGTGCAGGAGAAGGCCTTAACCTCTGGCTCCTGAGGCCCTGGCGCTTCCACCCACTCTAAACTAGTCCCTGTGAGGATGCACACGTGCTTCCCAGCTTCTGTGTGGCTGCATTACAGTGTTTGAGGGAGGTAGATGTGCTGTGCCTTTAAAACAGTCTGACGGCTCTGCACTCCTTTCCCATCCCTTAACTGTCATGTGTTTTTGATGAAATGAGTTATTTAAAAAATACAGACCTTCTTCTGGAAGTTTTGAAGAATCTTGGACTCTGAGGGCTCCTTTCCCTTCTCTGTGATCAAGGGTTGGGTGGGGGTGCTGGGCCTGCATGGATGCTGGGGGGATGCAGGGGGTCCTGGGGGAGCATTGGAGCCTGGCAAGTTGGGCTGCTACCAGGAACCTGAACACCACCAGACACCCTGGGAGAGGTGAGCTGCGAGGCCAGGCTCAAAGCAGAGGGCACAGGCCGGAGGCATCAGGACCAGAGTCCAGGGTGTCCACGGTGCAGGAGTGTGGCAGAGGAGGGTGGGGATGTGGGCATGGGGGTATGGGATGCGGGGTGCTGGGTATGGGGTGTGGGACTCAGAGTTGCTGGGTGGATGGTGCAGGGTTTGTGGGGGGTGGGGGCTGTGTCGGGCACAGGGTATTCAGGGTGGGGGTGGGGAGAATGCGGGATGCCGGGTTGCTGGGTGTATGGTGCGAAGTTGGGTGGGGTGGGAGCCTATGGGGAAGGTGCAGGGGTGCCTCCAGGCCTGGACCTGCTGGGGTTGTGCTGGTTCTGCTGCTGAAGGTGACCCGCCTGCTGCTGTGCACAAGTTGCTGAGAATCTGAGCCTGGTTTTCTTACCTGAGAAATGGGGCTAATGACCATCCTGACGGAGCCGTCTGGCGGCCCAGTGCACCACCACAAGCTTCGAAAGCATTTCCATATGGGGCGGGCTTCCCTCCAAGCGCAAAGCCCCCGAATTTCCTACCTGGCTGCTGACTGTCACTTGCTGTTCAAGCTTCTGCAGGGGGTGCGGCTCCGGCCTGGGAACCAGCCCTTTGGGGTCCTGCTTTCGTCCTTGGCTTTCATTTCCTGCTGAGTTCCCTGGACCAGAGGCCTTGGGTTTCGAGGCAGGAACTGAGTTGCTCTTCCCAGCCCAGGATGGAGTCCTGCCCTGAGGCCCCCAGGGCCTGTGCCTGCCCAGCTTCTGCTGGGGCTAGGCAAGGCGAGGTGAGGTTGAGCTGCTTTTCCTCTCAGGCTGCACTGCTGTTCTCAGTTCCAGAATGTTCAACCGGGCGTACCTCGGGTCATGCCTCCCAGCAGCTGTGAGGAGACCCCTGCTGTTGGGGGCAGATCCCGCAGCGCGGACTGATGTAGGTGCTGAAAGAATTCCTGATTGCTGCCTAGACACCAGTGGGCCCTCAGATGCAGCGCGCTGCAGGTACACTCTCCATAAGCCACAGTGGGACTGGGGGGCACGGTGGGACTGGGGGGCACAGGGGCTTATTGGCTGGGTGGGACCTGGGTATCTGAGTTTGTCTGGGCCACCAGGGAAGGTGGCTCGAAAATGCTAAACCCACCCCCCCCACCACAACCCACAGCCCCCAGGCAGGTTCACTTGTTTACAAGGTGCCTCTGGCAGTGCCTCCCACCACCCTCACTGAACCTGTCTGGGGATCAGCCAGAGCAGGGGCCACCAGGAGCACTTGGTGGGAACAGCCCAGGGGGCCAAGGCCCAGTCCAGGAGCCAGCAGGGCACCTGGTTAATGCTGCCAACATCCCATCTTCCCTAAATGCCCCAAATAAAGCAGATACGGCAAATGCTCTGGGCCTGCTTCTGGGGGACCCAAATGCAGCCATCTCAGGGCAGGGCAGGGACAAAGAGGTGGCCAGCGTCAAAGGGGGGACCTGTCTCTCCATGCCCAGGACCCCCTCCTCCAAACCCCACTGCCTGGACAGAGCTACACACCCTGCCCATGCCCAGGGGCACCCGGAGAACATACCCTCTCCATGCCCAGGAGGAGCACCCAGGGAGCACTCCCTGCCCATGCCCAGAAGGAGCTCCTAGGGAGCACTCCCTGCCCATGCTCAGGAGGAGCACCCAGGTAGCACACCCTGCCCATGCCCAGGAGCACTGGGGGAGCACACCCTGCCCATGCCCAGGAGCATGGGGGGAACACCCCCTGCCCATGCCCAGGAGCACCTGGGAAGCATACACTGCCCACATCCAGGAGCAAGGGGGGGGGGGGACATGCCTTGTCCACACCCAGGAGCATCCGGGGAGCACGCCCTGCCCATGCCCAGGAGCACCCAAGGAGCACGCCCTGCCCATGGCCTACCTTGTCCCTGTTTTGAACTTTGGCCTCCAGGCCAGTGAGGAGAAATTTTTGCTTTAAGTCCCTCAGTTTGTGGGACGTGGACCTGGCAGCCCCAGGACCCTAAAACAATGGGTTAAGCAGAAAAAAGTGGTTCCTGTGAGTTCCGGGGGGCTCCAGGGCACATCTGTGGGGCTGGCGTCTGCTCTAGAGGATGGGGTCCCTGCTGAGCTCCGTGCAGGGGCACGAGGCTGGGCTGTGGAGAGCTTCTGGCTGCATGTTGAACCTCCGTGTCCTCAGGCTGTACCCAGAGAGAAGGGCTCAGGAGTGGCGGCTGCTGTCAGAGGTGCCTTTTCATTTTGCTCACTCTCTCCCAACTCCAGGCCCTTGAGAGGTGATGAAAAACCTGCTAAATAGCACAGAGAAGCCCCTCCTGTGGGGTTCGTGGCATTCACCCGAGGAGCTCACTCGGGCCACACTGTCGGCCCACAGAGGGGAAGCCAAGGGAAGAGTCTAATGACTCACCTCAGGCCTCAGAGTGAGCTGCACCAGGCGTTCCCACCACTAAGTCCACAGTCTCTTCAGGTTCTGCCTGACGCTCTCAACTATGGTTCTCTTAATAAAGAATTTCTGTGGAGAAAATGGGTGGGGCTGAAACAGTTTTGCCGCCAACAGTGCCTCTGAATCCCAGTGAAAACAGGCCAGACCTTCTCAGCTCCCAGGGACAACCCCAGTACAGATGGACAGGAGTGCCCCAGGGAGGGGGCCTGGCACGGGGACCACACAAATGTGCACCTGTGTGCATGTGGCAAGCACCTAGGTGGATGTGCGCGTGAGTAAGGTGCGTGTGGTGTGTGCATTGTGTTTGCCTGTGTGTCAGCACCCACCGCGTCTGTACCTGCTGCTGTCTCTTTGGAGAGAAATCCCCAGGTACTCACCTCTGGCCTTCATGGAGCAATGCTTCACATCTGGCTGCGTTGGGTGCTGTCTCGTGGACGAGCTTCGGATTGGAATGGCGCTGTCCAGGCAGGAGCAGGTGGAGAAATGCTTTCTCCAGCCGTGGCTGCTTGCTTCCACAACCTCCTTGGCTGCTCAGGGCTCAGGCTTCTCCATGCAAAGAGGGCCCTCCAGGGGGACTTCCCTGCGTCCACACCAGCCTGGGGCTCAGGGAGACTTTGAGAGGTGGGAACAAGCAGGTGAGGGGAGTACAGAGCCTTGGCCCATTCCCCTGGGGTTGCCTGAACCCCAGAAGCTCCTCCCTAAACCCCCATCCAGAAGTCAGGCTGGAAGAAGTAAAATCAAGCAGACCAAACTTACTCAGACTCATGTGTGAGTGACTGAGGGCCTTTTAATAATCCAGATGCATCCGCATTTCCAGACCAGGATCTCATTTAACCCAAATGGGTCTCTAATCAGTTGCATCCCAGGGGCTTAATGAATTGGGAACTTCAGGATGTGGGGGGAGGGAGGAGTCAGCCCGTGTTGTGGGGCGGACAGCCCCTCACAGGTCCCCGTGGGACACCTTGGCTGTCCCCACCATCGTCTCCTGTCCATGCCTGGCCCTCCATGGCGGTGGCTGACACACAAGGGCTCCTAAGGGCTGCCTGTGGAGGAGCACTTAGAAATGGGGATGACTGAGGCTCCTGCACAGGTGCATCCTCCTCGCTGGGCGCAGATGCTGCCTGAGTTGTGAGGGAGAAGCCGTCCGCTGGTGGCTCCGTCCTCTCCGGGAGGCCCTGGGGTGAAGGCAGCAGTGCAGCTCTGGGCGTAGGCCAGGCCCTCCCACTGAGGGAGCTGGCAGCTGGCAGCACCATCCCCAACCCCCTTGAGGTTCTACATCATTTCCTCCAGCAGAGCTCACTCACCATGGACAGCAGCTCTGGGCGCCAGACGCAGACTATAGGCACAGGACCCGTGGCTGCCACACACCAGCATGAGGCCAGGGGCCCTGCCCTGACCCTCCGCAGAGGCACTTCCAGCTTCACAGCAATGAGCTTGTGAGGCCTCAGCTTATACCCCTGCTGGTGCCGGCAGGCGTGCTCAGGTACACACAAGCCCATGTTCACGCAAGCTCACATACGTGCTCGTGGACACACGTGCTTAGGTAACGCATGCTTCTCATAGGCCTGTGTGGGTGGACTCTGGTGTGTGGGCGCCCATCCTGAGTAAGGACAGAGAAGTCATTTGTAGACCATGCATGATCTCAAAGTCTTTCCATATTAAATTTTCAAAAATCAGAAACAAAATGAAACATTGAGTCCACTCCCCAGCAGCTCTGCGTGGACAGTTCCCGGACCACATGTTCAGTCCTGCGGGTCAGACGCGATTCCAGTAAAACCAGCAGGAAGTGCGGCACTTTACAGCCACTTTCTAGACACGCACCATCTGATGGAATCTAATGGGAACCACAGATGTGAGTCTAAGGTTTCCAGTGGCCACATTAGAAAAGCAAAAAGAAATAGGTGTCATTAGTTTTCATATTTTAACCCAATCTATAAAAAATATTATTTAAATTTGCAGTCATCGTAAATAATTAGTGGATATTTCAGATTCTCTTTTTTGTAGGCAGCCTCAGGACCTGGCGTGCAGTCTCCGTGTGCCCCTCACTGCCGCCCTGAATATTCCCGTGATTTGTGGCCACATGTGCCTGAGGGAAACACCGCCATGAACATGAAGCTCTCCTGGGAAATCAGGGGCAGAGGACGCTGCGTTCTTAACAGAGCACAGCGAGTGCACAGCGTGGGTGCACATGGGTGACCCTGGGTGTGCGGACAGACAGTAGGAGGGAGAGGCTCCTGCCTCCCTGAGTCACACAGCTGGAGGCAGGAGACGTGGTTCCCAGCACTGACCACAGACCTGCACTCACGGCAGCTGCGTCATCGCGAGGGGCTCTGAAGCCAGCAGTGCTGATGCCCCCCTGAAGCCCTGGCCTGTGCACGGGACACAGAGCCACGTAGCGACTGTGTTAGAACACCTGGCATGGCTGCTTGGGGCAGGAGTTACCTGGTCATCACTGGAGCTTGGGCTGGGTCCAGGGAGCCAGAGAGTGGAGTGAGAGATGGAGGTAGATGGCGGTGCAGGGTTGCTTGCTGCTTGGCAGGTGGGACGACAGGCCAGGACGGAGACAGAACCTCAGCTCTGCAGCTGGCAGCTGGGTTCCTCCCACAACCAGGTGATCCTTGAAGCAGAGTCTCCCTGGGCCCCCAGCTAGGAGTGTGGACCTGCAAGGTGCCCACAGCGTGGTGAGAACAGATGAATCTGTACTGATCTCAGCCCTGATGGTTTGGCTGCTGATATGGTGGTCGGGAGCCAGAGTGCTGCTGCTGGTACACGCCCCTGGATGACTCCATCTAACTTGTGGATGGAGGAACTGCCAGCACTTCAAGTGCTGGGCGATTACACGTGGCAGTGAATGCAGGTGCCCAATTGGTTCTCCATGGGCCGCTGGGCAATTACATGTGGCAGCGACTCTGAAGCACCCCTGGCTGGTTCTCAGCCATAATGTCCACTAGAAGACAGCTGCCAGCATCAGCCAACCATGATGTCACTGGCCGTTCTTCCCCATGAGGCTGGGCCAGCCTCCCTGTGTTTCCAGCCTGCAGAATACAGGATGTGGCCTGTGTGGACCCGAGAGCCTCCAGCAACGACCAGGGTTGCTGGCCCATCAGGCAGCTGAGGCTGCAAGCCCAGAACCGCATCTGGGCAGAGGAACCAGGCACCATTGACAGCCCCGTGCAGGTAGAGGCCCCTCAGCCCCCACCCAGAGCAAGAGGCACGTGTGGCTTAGGGGGCCCTGACTCCAGCCTGGCTGGCTTGGGCCCAAAGGACACTTGTGACTGTCAGGCTGCAACAGGGCAGCAGACGACAGCGCATGGGGAACAGACCTGGAGTCCACGAACACACAAAACGCTCCAACTCTCCCTCCTTGGGGTCCATGAACACCCGGAACGCTCCACGTCTCCTCTTCCTGGTCCACGAGCGCCCAGAACGCTCCACGTCTCCTCCTTCCCGGTCCACGAGCACCCGGAACGCTCCACGTCACCTCCTTCCCGGTCCACGAGCGCCCGGAACACTCCACGTCTCCTCTTCCCGGTCCACGAGCGCCCGGAACGCTCCACGTCTCCTCCTTCCCGGTCCACGAGCGCCCGGAACGCTCCACGTCTCCTCTTCCCGGTCCACGAGCGCCCGGAACGCTCCACGTCTCCTCCTTCCTGGTCCACGAGCGCCCGGAACGCTCCACGTCACCTCCTTCCCGGTCCACGAGCGCCTGGAACGCTCCACGTCTCCTCCTTCCTGGTCCACAAGCGCCCGGAACGTTCCACGTCTCCTCCTTCCCGGTCCCGCTCAGCGCCTGAGCCTCATAGGAGTCTCTTCTGCTTCCTGTCAACTCAGTAACTCAGGCTCACTTGTGAAATGGCAGCAAGAGAAGGCAGGGGAGGAGTCGGGAGGACATTGGGCCAGTTGGTCCACCCAGTGGCTATTATCCACCAGATGGGGATAATAGCCACTCCTATTATAGCCACTACTGGCCTGGAGGCCAGGCCGGGCCCTCCAGGAGGCACTGACCACGAACCCAGCCACCGTTGGTGCTGGCCCTGCAATCCACTCTGACGAGGGGTCTCTCCTTCACACCAGCAGGGAGCTGGATGTCACCACCCAGGAAGGGGAAGCCTGGCTCCCGCAGTGTGGGGTTCTAGTGCACACCCGACAGGTGAGCAGCCCCCCAGGTCATGTCCAATTTCCACAGAGCTGTGTCAGCCAGAACCGCTCCTGGGAAGCCCCTGAACTGTTCACGCTGCCCCAGGCCCCAGACGCTGCTTTTGAGTGTGCACATCTCAGCAAGTCCAGCACCTGCGTCTGACCCCAGACCTGTCGCGTCTCCACCAGGTGCCTTCGTCTGACTGTGGCCCCATGTGTGTCCCCACAACATACCCAGGTTGAAGCTGAGAGCTGTCTTTCCCACCACACCTGGTCGGTCCCTTTGTCCCCCAGCCCCTCTAACAGTGGGATGGACCCCAGGCTGGAGGCACGAGTGGGCTTTGGCTGTGCTCTCAGGACAGCTCTCAGGACTCGAGCTTCTGGTCTGACCGCACCCTCAGAAGCCCCCAGGTGGGCCCCGAGGCTGAGTCCAGGAGGTCCCTGTGGGCCATGCTCCCTCTGAGGCAGCAGCCTGTGGAGGTGGCCCCAGGTGTCTGCGTGTAAAAGCGGCCTCTGTGCTGTGCTCACCCCGTGAGACTCACCGGCCGTCTGCAGTGCTGGGACTTGGACATGGGCCCAGGCAGGGCCTCACGAGAGGCCAGGGCGGCGGGAGCAGCAGCTGGAGCTGCTCACAGTACTGGGCTTTTCTCCACATGGTCCCGTGCCAGCCACTGTCCAGCACCCGACTGGCCCAGAGCCATCGTCTCGGCCCCACACGCTCAGCACCGTTGCCTCCCTGAGGCCATGCTGGGGTGCTGGGCATTCTCAGACGTGGAGGCAAGGGTGTGGGGAGGCTCAGGTGAGAGGCTGGGAGCCAGCCTCCATGCCCAGCCTCTCAGGCACTCATGGGGGTCACTTGGCCTGGAAACTTGAGGCCTGGGCTCCTGCTCCATTTCAGTGACCTGACAGCTTGGTGGGCAGGATGCCTAGGGGACCCTGAGAGT